TGCACTTAATTTCCATCAAATCCTATTGAAAATAAGTCTTAATAAAATCGTCACTAAAAATAATTTTTGATGAACTTACATGTAAGTTCTAATAGGTAGGCTTATTGTCCAATAGATCACGTGAGAATTAATGGTATTTTTCATCGAACACTATTTAAAAATGTTACTAATTGTTAATTTTCAGTGACAGTTTGAAAATTGCCACAAAATTATTACTAATTATAAGTTTTAGTGATGGTTTAAAAAAATTGTCACAAAAAATTAACTAATTTTTAACTTTCAGTGACAATTCGAAAAATTCGTCATTGAAAAACGTCACTAATTGTAAGTTTTAGCAATAATTTATAAAAATCTTGACCAAAAAAATCATTAATTGTCAATTTTTAACGACATATGTAAAAAATCGTCACAAAAATTTATTTTTGGCAATGATTTACTAATAAGTCTTATTTTTAATAGGACTTGATAGAAATTAAGTCTAACTTTTAGGACCTATTGGTAATTTAGCCATAATTTTTTATGATAATTTTTGCACTTGTCACTAAAAAAATTCTAATTAGTGACATTTTTTTTTCACGATTTTTATGAATTGTTGCGAAAACTTACAATTAGTAACTTCTTTTGTGATAACATTTTTAAACTGTACGTGGCACCTCGGCTGACACGTCGGCGTCACCTTGCCACGTGTTGGTACTCAGAAAATATTTCCCCACAAATTCATATAAAATTTTACAAGAATATATGACAATGACATTATTATTACAAATAAATTTATCTTTAATAGTGTGCTATTTTGAAGTGAAATGAACCACACCATCATTATATATGAATTTTTTTGTTTGTATAGCTGCATATAATTTTATTTGTATTATACATATATATATATATATATATTATTTTTAAAAGTAAATAAATAAGTCCTAAAAGTTATATACATATAATTTGCGCCATCACATCACCTAAAAGCCACCTAGAAGAATCATAACAAAATGCAATCTCATTAATTATGATGAAAGATAGCAGCATCTAACGGTCACTATATGGCCAAATAAAAATAATGATTTTAAAATTTAATAACCGTTGCATCATAAAGAATTAGGAAATCAAAAACAAGTAACCGTCACTAACATGTAACCGTCCCTAACAGTTTCTCCAATTCCACTTGATCAATCAAAGTGAATTGTTGTGGATGGAGGGCTCAATTTATGCAAGAATTATCCTATCTTTTAGAAATTTTAATTAAGTTGTGTGTCCTTTCAATTCTATTAATTATTTTATACAATACATAAGAAAAAAAAAATAGAAAATATTAAGTATGTAATCAATAAAATTGTAAGGGACCACATAGAATATGGGGTAGACCCATGTGATAATTTTTTCAACTAATGGCAAGTTTACTATAAATACTTTTTTTTTTTTTTTTTTTTCATGCAAAGCCAATAAATTTCTATATCTTAGCTAAGCAATGAAAATGTACCAAGAATAGAATGGAAGGATGTCCACCATTTGGGTAACTTTCCTACTTCTAGTTAAAGAAGTTCTACGAATTTAGAAAAAAGAATCATAAATCTATTCAAAATTGACGTGACCCATAATAACAATTTTAATGTGCTTTCTATTTTTTGAATCATTTTCTAATTTGTTTTATGGGTTAATAGAGTTTCTGTTTTAGTTATTACCATAAATTTTTTTATTTGAGTTATTTCCATCATTGACCATCATAGCTTTGTGGGCTGGTCACGATCCAGTATGGTTTCGTGGATCATAGTGGCTTATTTTAGTAATCTGATTTATTGATTTTTAATGTTTCCGCGGATAGATTATTCATAAAAGTAAAAATAGAATATTAAATTAATTCAATAACTGTAGTATATGATTTTATCACATTTGTTTTTATTTATTATTTTTTAAAATTAATCTGATAATTGTAATTTGTAACCACATTAATTCATTCCACTTTGTGCATCGCGGGATAAGGGGGGTGGACTATCCACTATTTGGATTGTAATCCAAATAGTGTTCCTTATCCGTTGTTTGATTTTTTTTTTAGTCCGGCGGACTCCATGTCCGGCCGGACTCCATGTCCCCCATATGGGGGACTATCCTGTCCTGGGGGGTGGGATTGTTTTGGGGGGACTAATCACTGTTTGGATTAGATGCGAAAATCACAATTTTGACCCTCTACTATTTAATTATGTATTACATTTAATAAAATTTAATAAAATTTAAATGTCTCAATTTAAAAATAAAATAATTTTATTTAACTTTTTATCAATGTTTTATTTATTTAATTTTTTAAAATAATTTTTTATAGATATTTTATTAAAATTTTGTTTATGTTTTATTTAATTTCATTATTTAAATTTAATACATGTTTTAATAGATGTTTTATTTAAACAATTAAATGTTTAATTTCAACAATAAATAATTTCATTTATTTAAATTATGTTTTATCTAAACATTTGTACATCAACATGTTTATTAAATTATTTCAACATCTGTACATCAACATGTATATTTATTTAACATCTATTAAATTATGTTTTAATACGTCAACATTTGATTACATCTACATTTGTTGATTGTTAATTACATCAACATTTGTTAATTGTTTAAACATAATCTATACATCAACATTTATTTAATTGTTAATTGTTAATTGTTTAAACATAATTTGTACATCAAAATAATTTCAATGTTAATTGTTTAAATAAAAATTTAAACATTTAACCATTAGTATGTTTAATTTCAACAATAAATTTTTATTTGTTTAAATAAAAATAATCTATACCAGTCAAATTTTTTTATCAATATTAGTATGTTTAAATATCTTTAAACAAAATTTAACCATTAGTATGTTTAATGTTTACTAAAAATAATTAAAATATTAAAGATATGTTTAATATTGCTATTACTTAGTAAACAATTGAAAAATGGTAAAATAGTCTTTTGTTCATTTATCCTATCCAGTCCGTCCAACCAAACGTTGGATTCACTGAAAATAGTCCTATCCAGACATCTAATCCCATGAAAAAACAAACACAGGATACATATCCAATCCGACCAAATAGTCCGGGGGATTCACAGTCCCAGGACTCAAGTCCGATGGATTCTAATCCCCCCTTTTCCAGTCCGTCCAATCAAACACACCCAAACTGTTATGTTTTATTAAGTTATTGCTTTTCACTCTTCTCTTTATTCAATTAATGGCATAGATAGTAAGAGACGAAATAGAAACATGGACAGTATTTGTAACGTCTTGCCTCATATATTGCCTTGATCAAACTCGCATAAACTTTTGTAATTTCTTCATTTTTAACAGCACATATATGTATATATATATAGTTGGGGTGATTAGTGTGTTCAGTCACTTTTTATTTATTTATTTACTTTTATAATGTTTTTTTGAGGGTGTGTGTTTCATAACTTTTTTTTTGGGGGGATCAACAGTGTGTTTAATAACTTTGAACACATTAAATATGTTATCCAATAAAATATATTTAAAACCATGAATCAAGTATAAAAAAACATATTATAATGGTTGTTATTAATGTTGGATTGAGAGACCTCCCTCAAGGGGAGGTTTAGCTAATTAAGAGATAGATTTTATAACAGTTCTTGTGAAACTGTTGTAACTGTTGAAAAATAATGATTTTTTTAGCAATTTTAATTTGAAATTAAAGTGGGACCCAACCATCGGTTGAAGTGGATCTGAGTAGTTTTGTATTCTCTTAAGTTGAGAAGATTGTAATACACAAAAAATAAGTCGAAACTATTGAGTTATGAATAAGAATTGTCTCATAAGGTGGGTATCAATAAAATTAGACTTAAATTTAGACTTAGTCTTAGTTTGGACTGGGCCTAGGCTTGTGCTTGCGCATATGCTGGGTTTGGTCTTGGACTTAATCTTGAGCTTGGACTAAGCTATGTTGTGTTGGGCTTAGCTTGTGCATATGTTTGAGAATTGGGTTCGAATCGGGTTGTAACCTAACATTAATATCCATTTACTGACTCAGTTGGTTTCTTTAACCATCATTATATACATATTTATTTATATATTTTAAGTACATAGAATGTTTAAATCTTTATAACTCTCATCTTTTGATGATGGTGTTAATGACCATATTAGTAGTCATAGGTTTTCAACCTTTGTAACTCGTCTCATCTTTTGATGATGGAGTTAATGACCATATTAGTAGTCATAGGTTTTCAATCTTTGTAAAACCCTAATAGCTAGAGTTGATGGCCTTGGTTAATGGTATTTGATGGCCCTATTGATGTATAGCCTTTATGGGTGGCTAGCGATTCCTCCACTGCTGGAAAATTCACATTTAGTGGCATTTAAAAAGCTTCACCATAGGTGCAAAAAATGTCGCAAATTCTTTTTGTGACGTTTAATACCAAACGCCGATAACGTAGCCATCGCTATAGCTTTACGACGTTTGAAAAACGTCGTTATATTAGCAGTATAGGCGGCGTTTGCAGTTTTAAAAATGCCGCCAAATGTCCTACCCTAACGGTACTATGACATCACTATGGTTTTAGTGACGTTTTTAAAACACCGTCATATCTATTTTTATTTCAAAAAAATCTGTACAATGGTGGCGTTTTTAAAAAAACCGTGATATTTTTTTTCTTTTTATTTTTAAATTATGTTAATTTTATGTGATTAAACTAAAAAAATACCTATAATAAAACTGAAAAATAACACTAATATGAAATAATAACTCCCATTCAAATAGCAAATGCAACATTAATTTACTTTCCCATTCAATTTAATATCCATTTACCATTACCACAAAATAACATATCTACAAATCATATTTTAGCAAAGACATTAGCAGAGAAAGAGGTGTTGAGCTATAATGATGGATTCAACTGTACAAGAGATGGCAAATTACCATGAAGAAAATTATCCCCAGCTCAAGATATCACTAGAGTAAGAGACTCTATTAAACTTTACTTGATTATGTTTCAAAAAAATTTTCTTGCTTATAACATAAATTTCAAGCTTGGATGAGTTAAATTCAAATTGATGAGAGAGTTCATTGTTAGTCTTCACTGGTCTACATGACTATATCAGAACAAAAACTGCAATCAGATTCATCAAAATAAACATAAATTGAAGAATTTGTACCTAATACTTATGCACAGTACTTAAAACTTGAAGAAACACTAACAAAAAGATTTTATGTACACTGTTTCAAGGTCAAGACACTCCAGGCCACTCCGGTTTAAAACCTGAAATCAAGAAGTCGGTTACAAATATTGATAGGATGAAGGTAACATCAGAAACAACCAGTCTATTCAAATTATAAGAGCATATCCTACATTCACCAAACCAAACCCTCTTTGGTGCAAGCTTGTGTGGTCCTTAATACGTCCATCAAAGAAAATTAGTATTACAGAAAATCAGTTCAAAGGGCACTTCATAAATTTCATACTCTAGAAACCACCCACACCTGCTCAAACATCATCCACCACCTCCTCTTCCTATGTGGATAGAGTTGGCAACCTTTAAGAGGCTAAAAACAAAAAGCTATATCTAAAACAAGGGGAATCTGCAGAACTAAACAAACAAAACCATCATCTGCTAAACAAGGCAATGAGCCACTGCAAACTAGAAGATTTGTTGGTCTAAATAATCTCAAACATCAATCAAATGAATGCTAGAATGAAATCAAAAGATTTAACATGAAGTTTTGAATAATGTCCTAACGCTCATATGATAACAGATTTAACATGAAGTTCTGAATAATGTCCTAATGCTCATATGATAACCATAAAACAAGAAAACTAAATGTTAGTTGATCTGAACATCCTAATAAACAAAGCTCCAGAATTTCCTTTCAGCACCTGGATTTGGGAGGATGGTTTTCTTTAACAATTGGTTCTTGTCTAAACTTTCACCTTTCATTTCCGCGTTGTTCTGGAAAGTTGACTTCATTTCTGCTCCTGTGAAAATTTTGTTCTAATTATATTCTTGTTGAACGTGTTGCAAATTGTGTTAATATGCTTTATCATTATAATACCATAGAGTGAAGTGAAGCCTACAACAAAACAAATATGATTTATCATTATAATACCATAGATTTTTCATTTTAAGTGCACTACCAAAAAAAAAAAATAAAAAAAAAAATAAAAAAGTATTAAATTACTGTATCAGGAATCGTTTCAATGAGTGCTGTGTAAGAAGTAACTAGTACTTCATAAGGGCGCAACCAGAGAGGGAGACCAGCTTCCTGGAATATATCTGGCATTAAAAACAGTGGCCAAATCTGTTAACCATCAAGAAGCAAATACTAAGAGGTTCTACAATTATATATAACATGATGAATTTGATTACTGTTCTTGCAAAATTGGGATAATATGGAAGGGAAAAGAAACAATACTTGATACATTTGGTTGCAAAATAAGGGTAAGTCATTCTCATAGAACTAATATAGTCGGTTCTTAGCCGTGCGATAGTCTGAAAAGGCTATCACACCAACATCTAAATTAATCACACCATAATGCAACAGGGAGGTTCAAGATGGAGAACAATGCAGTAATACAATCCTCAAGTTAACTTATCTTCTTGAACCTATAGACACACACATGCACAAATCTTTAAAGAACTAGTGATGAAATGAACATTTAAAAAATTAATAAAATAATATATTTTTCACCATAAATAACAAGTTTAATATCATTCACCAGAATGAAAGGAGAGAAAAAAGAGTAGCACAAGGGGAGGGGTTTTGATTTTGCTAACCTTATAAAGATTGGGATGCTCAACGGCTTTGTGAAAATCTTATAAAGATCCCTGCCAAAGTACACACATGGATAACACAAAATTACTGCCAGTTGACACGTGGACGTTGAAAACTGGCCAGCTTGGCAAGATCTATGGTTATCAATGATCATCATAACCTTAGGGATTACAAATAATAGTCAATTTGGGTTGGGTGATTTGTGAAGAAAATTTCTCTTCACTCATTGTCACCCGTGTGGATCATTAGGTAGAATACCTAATGGGGAGGAGAAAAAAGTGAGGCCGAAATAGGGCCTGTTCTTCTTTTACGTATTGATTTTCTAAAAACACAAACTTGTTTTTCGGGAAATTTTTTGAAAAGCAACCCAAATTTTAATTAAATTTTTGAAAATGGTTCACACAATATGGAATGAAGATGATGGACACTTACGAACTTTTCGTTTTATTTCAAGAACGCAAAAAACAAAAATGAAGAAAATGAAAACAAAACAAAACAAAACATGCCCAAAGTAACCCAGAGCATTTCATGCAAAAGACGAAAAGGGATATCAACAGAAAAAAGAGGGAAAATAGTCGATTATAGGGTCATTTGGAAATAAGAATAGGCTGCATAAATACCAAATTACCCTTTGCAGATGCTACTAAATGAACAAAGGTTGATTTTAGGTGGTTTCTTATTCAGGAAAGTAGTGATCGAAAACGTTACCTATAAACCATATTCCAGCTGCCAGAAACAGAATGGATGTTAGGATTAGAGTAGTCTTCCGCTAGTTGTGAATATGATCCTGAAGAATCGTCTAAATTAGGACATTAAGTAATAAATCTGGGCATGATTAGAGAATACAGAAATGGGATATATATATATATATATATATCTAGAATAGTAGGGAGAGATGTTGAGTCCATCACCCACTACCTCAACCAGAAGGTTATAAAAAATGGAAATAAAAAATGGAACAACAAAGAAAATATAGATGGCTTATCAAAAGTCACAACTTAAGAGTCACAATAGAACTTCCATTAATTAAATAAACATTCCATTGTTGTGTCCATGATCATGACCGTCTAAGTCATCACTATATTTACAAATGTAGAACTCAAACTAGTTTAGGCAGGTCCAGATTTAGAGATCCAACTATTATAGAAGAGTTACAATTATTGACCCTGCGTCATAAATCCAAACAGTTAAAAGGGCTTCAAATCCCTTCTGTAGTTTTACTTGATGCAACAATATTTATGTAATCAGCTTTCAATTTCAGTAGTATTTCAGACTTCCAAAGACATTGCTTAGTTACAACAATGTATTTGGAAGATTTAACCATTAAGGTAAAACATGAGATGGTCAAATTCACAGTCCTCGACTCACAGCTGAGTTACTGATGAAGAAGCTGAAAGCCTAAATACACTTTTAAATCTTTATTTGCATGTTGTGTATTATTGCTTATTTAATACACTTTTAGATCTCTTTGAAAAATGCGTTTTTGTTTTGACTATTTTCGAATCCATCATGTAATTTTTGCCATTTTGCATCGACTCTGCGAATTTGATTATTAACTTCAACCGCGGATTCAAAATATTATCCCATTTTGTTTCTCATATTGCTGTTCTAAATTGAATGTATACATAAGGAAAAACAAGAACAATATAAAATTGACAACTTTCTCTAAATTTTTGTTACTCAATCAATAAATTATTAGCTTCAATGGCTTACAATGCTATTTATAGGGGAAATGGCTAGTTATGCCACATCATAATCAAGACCACAATTAAAATAATAACTCCCTAATCACGCTACGATTACAGAAAATTAAAAATAAAAAAGGTTGCCAAAAGTAGCAAAGGAATTTGGTCAAAATACAGTGTCGGTCACTGCATAGCAGTGTGTTGGGTTGAGTTGTGCTAGTTTGGTTTATTTTGGATCGAATGTGGGTCCAAAGACTAATTTGACAACCTTCAAAAATCATTTTAATTATCGTTTTGCTATCAAATGGTCAAATTGCTACATGAACTTGCAATCTAGCCACTCGCACTTTAAAAATGCTCTTTTGCACCACCCTTTGACATTACATACCAAGCATCCCAAAGCTAATCCCTACCCATTTCAAGCCAAAATAAAAAATAAAAAAAAATGGTTGAATATCACCATTTTCTGGATGTACTGTTGCCCCAAAATGATATTGTCAAACCAATTGAATTGCTTCCCACAGGTTTTATGTTTGAATATCACTCATTCTAGCAGCTAGGGAGTATGGTACTGGTGGAGGGAGTAGGAGGGTCACGCCAAGATCAATGGTTGAGATGTGGCAGGCCTTGCTTGGAATAGGGGTGAGTAGCAGAGTGATGCTGGTGTAGAGAGTTGGGCACCGTGTGCTAGTGGTAATGTGTTTGAACTTTGTAGTGACCAGAACATATACATGTTGTGGCACAGATCTCCTAATTTATAAATTGAATTGCTTAATTCTTAGTTGTTTGTTTTGATTCCTTTTTTATTTTTAATTTTAATTTTCTTGGAGATTTTCTTCATAGCTTTTGTGAGGCCTGTTATGTTCCTTGAATCTTAATTCTGCCTCAACTTATATCGGCTGTATGTTATCAACCTATGCCTGCATCAAGAGAAGCACTATGAAGTACCATTAGGCACCTCAATTTTTTTGACTTGTATGGCTTTCATTTCACTGGCTTATTGGAAATGTTCACTATATGCTGCTTTCAGGAAGCCTTGTTCAGGGTATAAATTGAAGGAAATTACTGGAAGTAAAATATTTGCTGCTGATAATGAAGATGGAGGACTAGAATCTGGAAATGCTACTTCGAATCCTACTAATAAAACAGGACAACATACTTATCAGGTATTTATTTTATATTGGCTGGATGAAAAATTCATATGAACATACCTAAAATGCCGTGTTGCAATTCCATCAAATTAGCTGTATTTTTAATGAACACATTTATCAATAAACATGGCATTCAAACTACAAATGCTAATAAATTGATATCAATTCCCAAACAATGAACAAAAAGCTAACACAAAGTTGTTCAATAAAAATCTAAACAAGGTCAAAACCAGAACAAACATGTAAACAAATATATTAGAACTTACCTCCAATGAGAAAGTTAGGGTTTCTTTTCTCACAGGAGTTTATTTTTCCCGTCACTGCCGATCAAAGATTGGATCATTTGAGAGCCTAAAAACAAAATAAGGATGATTATTCAATCAATACATAGAGATACATATATAAATTCATATATACACTTGTATAGAGAGATTTTTAGGAGAAAAAAAATTATCCAAAAAAAGTACAGATAATGTGTATGCAGAGAACGAGATTGTGCAAGAGAGGCAGATCGAAAGCGATTGAAAGATCGACAGAGAGGAAGACAGAGACAGAGACAGAGAGAGAGATCGAGAGAGAGAGAAGAACCGACGAAACTGAGATTGGATTGAAATCGAAATTGTGCAGATGGTTAGTAGACGATGCAGATGCAGATGCAGATGGTGGTGGCGGTAGCGGTGGAGCTTCGAAATCAAAATCATTCTGAGATTGGATTAACCGAATGATGAATCACCGAGGTGAAGAAGGTTAAATCGAGTTCAAGGAGCTGAAGGGTTGAGAGAGAGAGTGAGAAATTTGAGTTTCTCTGAGACTCTAGGGTTTCTCATATTCAAATAACTTGGTGAGAGATTTGAGGGTTTAGAGAGAGAGAGAGAGTACAACACATTTGAAGGCGCTTTTCAAATGACTTCTATTTCTGAAACAGTATCGTTTTAATTAAACAAAACGTTAAATTTTAAAAATAGTAGCGTTTTAAAAAACGCCGTTAAATCATATATTTCCTGTAGTCTACTTGTATAAATAGAGGTCTTTCTACTCCAACTTAGTAGGAGAATTTTCGACAGATTTTTTTATGGAAAATAAAGATGGTGTTTTGAGATAAAAAGTTAGCGATATTTTTTTTTCTACCAAAGAAAAATTTTCCTATCTTCTTTTGCTAGCCCCTTCTTTGGTTCTTGTTAGAGAGAGTGCAACCATTATCAAATTTACCGAAGCTATTCAGGAGGTGCTTCTGCATTAGTTGGTTTCGACTGTCGTATCATATGAGATAGACGCCGGCGTACCTCCAGCATCCATCGAGAGGTGGTAAATCTGTTTTAAGGAAACTGTGGTATTACACATGCTTCGGTTCGCATCCTTTATCTTTTGTTTTTCAAAGTTTTAAATTTAAATAATTTCTCGTATATTATTTTAGGGTATCATTTGAATCTATCTTGTAATATGTTTCATGGTATAATCTAGTTCATTCTTGTGTTTTTTTTAGTTCTATAGTTTATTGTACATTTCATTATTTAATAATAATAATAAAATTATTATTTTGTCATATCTATTTAATTCATTTTATATATTTTTTTTCTTGTATTTTTATGAAAAATATCAATAATGTTAATACTGGTTATAGATTATTCGCAAGTTGCAATGCTAACAGTCGCTTTGAAATTGATCTTTGTGAAGGATGATAAGAAGGGGCATTTTAAAGGTTATTTTGTATTTATTTGGAATCATTCATTATTGCCTCTCATTTTAGTTATTTTTATTGCTGCTTTGGATCTACTTTGGATCTGTTTTGCTGCAGTTTTTTGGGTGTGCACTGCAGTGATTGTTCTCAGCTGTGTTTTTTGTTTTTTTAGTTTATTATATATTTCATTCTTTAATAATAATAATAATAATAATAATTGTTTTGTCATTTCTATTTAATTCATTTTATATATTTTTCTTGTATTTTTATGGAAAAACATATTCATTATAAATAGTTTTGATAAAACAATTTAGTTTTTGTTATAATTTTATTCCAGTGACTCTTGGAATTAAAATTAATTTAATTGCCTAGAGTTATTGGAATTTGAATTGTTTGTTTTAAGCAATTTATTCATGCAATTTGTTTTATGTTAATTAGTTGTTATTGCATGAGTAATTTGATTGTTAGTGCACGATTTACTAAGTACTGATAAAATAAAATAAGAAATTTATTTCTTAAGATTCTTACTAATTTATTTGATTTTTTTGTTATTTGTTTTCTTTTATAGCTAACTTTCTCTACAGGTTACCTAAACGCGAAAGGAGGATATATAATATAAACAAATAAAATAAATTGGACTACTAATTTTTATTTGAATAGGATTACCTTTGCTTGGAATAAGGAATAATTTGGACCTTCGAAATTTTAGTGAATTTAATTATTTGCTTTATAGTTTAGGTTAATTTTAGATTTATTCCGTATGTTGTTTTGAAAGTTTGGTAACAATTTCAATTTAATTTGATTAATTAAATTTTGGAAAAAACAAAGAGTTGGATTTTTTTTTTTTTTTTTTTTGGTTGAGAATTTTAAGAGATTCGACTAGTTGAGAGGTTTCCAATGATATAAAATCTCCAAACAAGTTTGTTTTGGGAGAAAATTTAGCAAAATAGTTTCGGTTTTTCTAATATAATATTTATGTTGCATTATAAGGTGGATGGGTTCTAAGAGAGTATTAGTGCATGGTGAAATATTTTGCATTATAATGTCTTTACTTTATATTCATTCTATTAATTAATTGTTGTATTGGTTGTGAGTTTTTCTATATCTTGATATGTATAATCAAGTGAATTACTCCAAACATTATTGTGTATTGTAGGAATTTAACTCTATTGTTTATAAGACTATTTGTTCATAGTTATATGGTTGGAATGCCAGTGTGAAGCTTGGGTAACCAGCTTAGGGTATGATAGAATATCACCCCCTATTTATAAATGAAGATTAGGGTTTACAAGAAACACAATTACAAGATGATCCCTGAGGGCACAAAATGATTACAGACCCTAGTGTAACTTTCGGCTAATATAATATGCTAACACTTTCGGTTAATATAATATGCTAACACTCCCCCTCAAGCTGGTGCGAAGATATCTCTCATGCCCAGCTTGCCTAATATTTCATGAAATGGTTTATTCCCAATCCCCTTGGTGAGAATGTCAGCAAGTTATTCACCAGACTGGACAAAAGGAGTACAAATGGTACCACTAGTGAGTTTCTCCTTAACGAAGTGGCGATCAATCTCAACATGTTTTGTCCTGTCATGTTGAACTGGATTGTGAGCGATGTTGATGGCGGCCTTATTGTCACAGTATAACCGCATGGAGTCCGTCTGATCAATACCTAAATCACTCAACAATAATTTGACCCATAAAAGTTCACACACACCTTGTGCCATAACTCTAAACTCAGCTTCTACACTTGACCTGGCAACCACATTCTGTTTCTTACTCCTCCAAGTAACTAGATTGCCGCCAACAAATGTGCAATACCCTGAAGTTGATCTCCTATTAGTTACTGACCCAGCCCAGTCAACATCTGTATAGGCTTCTACACGAAGATGATCATACTTTGAAAAATACAGACCCTTACCAGGAGCTGACTTCAAATACCTCAAGATTCTCATGACAGCCTCAAAATGAATCTGATGAGGAGCATGCATAAACTGACTAACTACACTGACAGCAACAGCAATATCAGGACGGGAGTGAGATAGGTAAATGAGCTTACCCACTAATCGTTGATAGCTCCCCCTATCCACAACTTCTCCTCCTTCATCATCCCCCAATTTCTGATTGGGTTCCAGTGGGGTGGCACATGCCTTGCAGCCAAGCATCCCAGTTTCCTTCAACAGGTCAAGCACATATTTTCTTTGTGAGATAAATATCCCATCCTTAGAGCGAGCAACTTCAATTCCCAGAAAATACTTCAAGCTTCCCAAGTCTTTGATTTCAAACTCTTGAGCTAAATATTTCTGCAACAGAGGTATTTCCCCACTATCATTGCCTGTAAGAACTATGTCATCTACATAAACAATAAGTGCTGTAGTCTTACCGCGTGAGGAATGTTTCACAAACAATGTGTGATCTGCCTGACTTTGTTTGAAGCCATATTTAACCATAGCCTGAGTGAATCTCTCAAACCAAGCCCTTGGAGACTGTTTGAGACCATATAATGACTTCCGAAGTTTGCATACTTTGCCTTCTGTTTGATGATCCTCAAAACCCGAAGGAATGTCCATATATACTTCTTCTTCGAGGTCACCATGGAGAAAAGCATTCTTGACATCAAACTGATAAAGCGGCCAATCTAGATTAACTGCTGGAGAGAGAAGTACTCTGACTGAATTCATTTTAGCCACGGGTGCGAAGGTCTCCTGATAATCAATGCCATATGTCTGAGTAAATCCTTTTGCCACAAGTCTTGCCTCGTAACGCTCAATAGACCCATCTGCTTTTTGTTTCACAGTATATACCCATTTACATCCCACAGGTCGTTTGCCCGTAGGTAACTCAGTCAATTCCCAAGTGCCATTCTTCCTAAGTGCTTTCATTTCCTCAATCATGGCTAGTTTCCACTCAGAGGTAGCAAGAGCATCCTGAAAATGGTTAGGAATGCTAACAGAGGAAATATTGGACACAAACGCTCTATATGAGGATGACAAATGAGAGTATGATACAAACTGTGAGATAGGATGTTGAGTACAAGATCTCACACCCTTCCTCTTGGCAATAGGAACATCAAGATCAATGGACTCAAGAGATTCAAAGTTACCTAGACTCTTATCAGAAGCAGGAGATGGCAGTGGAGTAGCAGAGACGGTCCCATGTATCCAGTTAACTTGTTTTCTATCTATGTCCCGGACATAAACATGCCCGTCCTTATTCTTGGTGACAGTGGGTTCTATAGTCCCAGTAGAAGAGGGGGGTGCAAGAACCACTGGTTCCACCATAGGAAGCACAGTAGTAGAGGGTGGTGCAAGAACAACTGGTTCCACCATAGGAGGCACAGGACTCACTTCACACCAAGGAAAACACACTTGAGGGAGCGAGGGTCCAACTTACCACGAGAGGGAGAGTGATCATGGACAAAACAGACACAACCAAATATTTTGGGAGGAATAGAAAACAAGGACGGAGAACCGAGGAGGACGTGAAACGGAGCCTGTTTGTTCAAGACCTGGGTAGGGAGACGATTAATAAGATGGGCAGCGGTGAGAATAGCGTCGCCCCAATAGGGCCGAGGCACATGCATAAAAAAACAAATGCACCGAGCCATGTCAAGAAGATGCCGATTCTTGCGTTCGGCCACCCCATTTTGTTGAGGGGTATTGGTGCAAGAGGTCTGATGGATAATGCTATGAGTAGAGAAATATTATCCTAACCCAGAAGCTATGTATTCCCCGCCATTATTAGAACGAAATATTTTGATAGTGGCCCCAAACTGAATACAAATCATCTTATGAAAAGTGCGAAACACAGAGAAAACCTCACTCTTATCTTTCATGAGATACACCCAAGTAGCACGAGAAAAATCATCAATAAATGTAACAAACCAGCGATGACCTTTCACAGACAGAACACGAGAGGGACCCCAAACATCAAAATGTATTAATGAAAAAGGAACGAAGCTTTTATTCAAACTGGGAGCAAAAGAAGCTCTATGTTGTTTTCCAAGTTGACAAGACTCACAAAGAAAGTCAGACACATGATGATTTGCGAAACTAGAAGGAAATAAATGCTTAAGTAAATGAAATGAGGGATGCCCAAGACGCCGATGCCACAGCCATAAATCAGCGAGGGTAGTAGAAGACGTGGTGGAAGAATAAGCAAGTTTGTCTGGTTGATCTAAGAAGTAGAGACCATTTTCTGCACTACCACTGCCAATCGTCCTTCCCGT